AATAATCGGTCATCAGGCAACAATAATCGAAATAATAACAGCAACAATAATAGTAGTAGACGTCCAAATTCACGCAATAATGCTAATGTGCGCGCTTTAAACGCCGACGCCCCTCAGGAGCGAACACTGAGGGCGGAAGAATTGGACAATTAGATGACTCTTTTTCTACAAAGGGCATTTATTGCTTAAGTTTGAATTACTCTGACTTTATCGAATTGAAAATTAATGGGTCAAACAAATTTTGTACGTTTTTAGTCGACACGCAAGCCGACATTTCTCTAATAAAAAACTCTAGCATTGATAAACATTTTCCTATAAATACAAACGATATAATTAACATTACCGGTGTCACTTCTAATACTGTTTCCACTTTAGGTAAGATTACCGTAAACTTGACTTTTACTGATTTTTACATTAAACATACTTTACATGTAGTAAACGACGATTTTAACATACCATCTGATGGTATACTGGGTAAAGATTTTCTGAAAAGTAACAAATGCGTTACTAGCTATGCAAGCAATCGTATATACTTCTGGGTCGGCAATGAAAAAGTCGCGATACCAATCCTACACGGAACCGAAAGCGACACTTGTATCATACCACCCAGATGCGAAGTTTATAGAATTTTCAATTTTGGCAATTCGCCGGATCCACTTTTTGTAGAATCGCAGGAAGTTGAACATGGTGTATTCACAGCAAGATGCATGGTTAATAGCAGTAACCCAATTATTAAAATCATAAATACCACAGATGACGTAAAACATGTAAAGAATGTAAATATTCGGACCGGAAAACTTTCTGACTATCACGTTTACTCAATTAATAAAACCAAGACAGACCAGATCTCCACAGGAACTAACAGCAACTTGACCTTTGCATCAAATATGCAGACATTTTCGCTCTTGACAATGACAAAATGACACTAAACAATTTTTATGAACAGAAACTTAGGCTGACTGACACTAACCCGGTATATGTAAACAACTATCGTCTACCATATTCCCAACGTGAAGAGATAACTCGCCAAGTTAACACATTACTTGATAACGATTTAATTGAAGGAAGTTATTCAAATTACAATAGTCCCCTAATTTTGGTTCCTAAAAAATCCACTAATGGTCAAAAAGCATATTGTATGTGCGTTGATTTCCGCGCAGTCAATAAAAAGCTTATTGCGGATAAATTCCCTCTCGCATGAGTTGACGATATTTTAGACAATCTTGGCAGAGCCAAATATTTTTCCACTTTAGATCTTTTTTCTGGATTCCACCAAATCCCCTTACATGAGGATTCACGTGATATAACTTCTTTTAGCACAGACCGTGGAGCATATCGATGGAAAGTATTACCATTCGGTTTAAGTATAGCACCCATCTCATTCTCGCGAATGATGAGTATAGCTTTTTCTGGTATTCCACCCAACGAAGCATTTTTATATGTAGATGACATAATTGTTATAGGCTGCAGCGAAGCACATCACATTAAAAATTTAGCGAAAGTTTTCGAAACTTGTCGAAGTTTCAACTTAAAATTAAACCCAAAAAAATGTAATTTTCTCAGGCCTGAAGTAACGTTTTTAGGGCACAAATGCTCAGCAAAAGGTCTGCTGCCAGACAATTCAAAAATAGTTGCAATTAAAAAGTATACTAAACCTACTGACAAAGATGCGGTACGACGTTTTGTCGCATTTGCAAATTATTACCGAAGGTTTTTCCCAATTTTGCAACTCTGGCAGCACCTTTGAACAAATTAAGTAGGAAAAGAGTAGAATTCGTTTGGGATGAGAAATGCGATGAATCTTTTCAAGCGTTGCGATCAGCCTTAATGTCACCGAAACTGCTACAATATCCAGACTTTACAAAGCAATTTATTATTACAGTTGATGCTTCAAAAACAGGGTGTGGCGCTATACTTAGCCAAGAACAGCAAGGTTGCGATTTACCAATATATTTTGCTTCGAAAGCATTTAACAATGCAGAACAGAAAAAAACCAATAATTGAATTAGAACTTTTAGCAATCTACTTTGCCATTAAACAATTTCGACCATACCTTTATGGAACGCATTTTTTAGTAAAATCAGACCACAGACCATTAGTATACCTGTTCAATATGAAATACCCCTCTTCAAAACTTTTAAGAATAAGGTAAGAACTAGCGGAATACAATTTTACTATTGAATACATTAAAGGAAAATTAAATGTTGGCGCAGACGCACTCTCACGTATAACGATAGACGAAATAAGGAAAATGAAATGACACAAAATACAGATAATAACGAAAATGAAAACCAGGAGACATTAAATGTTTATGATACCGCGTATTAGATCAGTCATTACTTATGATAAAGATAATAAAATCAAAAATGTACGAATTTGTGCACATATTAAACATAAAAAACTCGAGTTACTTAATTATGTCTATGCTAACGAAATAATCAATTTCGATAATTTACTTTCGAGGCTTGAAATTGAAGCCAGCAAACACAGAATTAAGGAGATTGAATGGCCAAAAGACGATGAATTTTCCGTCATTTCACAATTGCTAGCTTAAAAAATCGCTGAAATATAATTTTAAAAACATTACAAATCATTTTAATAGATCCAGTCGAGACTGACTGAAAATGACAAAAAACTGAAACTAATGACCATTTATCACGACGACCCAATATCAGGAGGTCACTGTGGCATGAAAAAACTTTATGCGAAACTCAGAACAAAATATTACTGGAAAAATATGACCCGTGATGTCGCAAAATATGTTAAAAATTGTCAAAAATGTCTTTTAAATAAAGTAAAACCGAAAGTTAAAGAAAAACTTGTACTAACCCCAACGCCGAATAAACCGTTTGATATTGTTGTTATCGATACAATATGACCCTTACCAGAATCGAAATATGGTAATAAGTTCGCAGTTACCATTATTTGCGATCTCTCAAAATATTTAGTTACTGTTCCAATACCAGATAAAAGTGCTAAAACGGTTGCATCAGCAATTTTTGAAAGTTTCATTTTAGTATATGGCATTATGCACTCTATAAAATCTGATTTAGGGACTAAATATAAAAACGAACTTTTTGCTGAATTAACCAAACTTTTAAAAATTAAACATGACTTTTCGACAGCACACCATCACGAAACTGTAGGTACAATAGAACGAAATCACAGAGTATTTAATGAGTACTTACGAGCATTTTTAAACGAATCATATTCCGACTGGGATACATATTTAAAATATTTTACTTTTTTGCATAACACAACCTCAAACACAGTTTTTGATAATAAATTTACTCCATTTGAACTGATTTTTGGTAAAAACGCTGTTTTACCAAACGAAGTACAAAAAGTTAAAATTTATCCAATTTACAACGTTGACAATTATGCAAAAGAAGTAAAGTATCGTTTGCAAAGATCTCATGCACTCGCTAAAGAAATCGTAACAAAACATAAAATCCAATCGAAGAAGTCATTTGATATAAATGCACGTCCGGTACTAATTGAAGAAAAAGATACGGTTTTAATACAAAAGGAGCCTAGAGATAAACATAGCAATATTTATCTAAGTCCTTATGTTATACAGAAAGTAGATGGTGCAAATGTTACGGTTTTCGACAAAACCAAAAATAAATTAAAAACGGTTCACAAAAACCGCATTCAAAAAGTCACAATCTATATTTAATGAATTTATTTAAAATATACAAGTAACATTCAATTTTGACCCAAAATGAATCAGTCACGTCACACAAGATATATACAAACTATTATTATTGTTAGAATTACTCTGAATAATTAGTTAAAATATGTACATGTGTACAACAATGCGAAGTAACTCATGAATTATCATGTAAATCTGTTTGAAGACAAAAATTTTCATTTGGAATGAATAATACTCAAAAATAAAGTATATTTAGATGTATGTATACCTTCAAATTTTGGCTTAATAAACCGTACACATAAGTATTTTTATATATCATTAATTTAACACAATAGTCAAAAAAAAGGAAAAATCAAATTAGGCAAACAAAAAAGTATGTATTAATTTTTATACAAATAGTTATGTAAATTCATACTTACAAATTAACAAATTCATATATTTTATACAATTAGCAAATCAAAAAAAAAAAAAAAACAAAAAAATACTTTTATTTAACTCATACTTATGTATATTCTTTAATATAAAATTGATATTGTAAATTAACGCAATTAGCTAAGTAGATATAATAATGTTGTCAATTATTTAACATACGTTTTGAACTCTTTATTACAGCCGAAAGTTGATATGGACGAACGAGTTAAAAGGGGAAGGAAACATATTTACAATATTATTAATAAATATCTCGTTCCTCCCTATCAATTTTGCCCTTGAATCGAACGATTCTTGCAAGCCTGATCACCTGGCAAAAATCTTTTCTCAAGGAGGGTGAGTTAATGGCACCGCTAACAATACGGCAGCCTTATTCAGCGCCGTCGTAATGTTGGTAGCCCTGTTGGAACATACGATCCACAGGTACCTAAAACCGAGTGAAAAAACGAATGTTAATTCAATTCGATATACGCATTTGATAGCTGCGGTTGTGCAGAATAAATAAAAAAAGTCTTTTATTAATCTTACAAGCGAAAGTAGTTGCGCGTGTAATAAATCTTTTTTGATAATTGAAGATTTATGTGACAAGCGGCCACGACACAGTGGTCCAAACGCTCAATTTAGCCGGAAAAAAGTCATAACTTACTTCTCCGCGGATGGATCGAAATGAAATTTCGCACATTCAAAGATCTAATTACAATAAAGAATCGAGCCAAAAATCAACGGATTCGGTAAATGGAAAGTGTATTTTTTTTATGGAAAATATATCTACATATAATTCTTCACTCCATATAAAGTTAACGTTTATTAAAACATATTTAAATTGTATACAAAATATTAATGAAAACAGTTTAGAATTCAATTCTTTATTAATTTCTCAGAATCTTCTTCACTTTCTGATTTCACTTCCGGATTGGCAGTGACAACACATCTTTGCTTAAAGGCTCAGCACTACGATAACGATGAGAAGGGTTTGACGAAGATGATGAAATGATCGGATCCGATGAAAGCAGGAGATAGTGAAATAGGTCATACATGGTATTTTCACGAGACGTTTTGCGTGCGTGACCTTCTCGTATATATCTTAAGTCTTTGTTTCTACATTCTAAAGCTTCTTCTGACAACATTCCAATTGGAAGTGCAGCGTGTTTAGTAATATCCGCACCGTGAATTAATATTTTGTGTACACTTGACGGCATGTAATACCATGAATATAATTTTACGTACAAATTTGCCGTATCCATCGCATACTTCCGAAATTCCTCCACATTGATAGCAAAGCCGCATCCCATAGTGCGTAAGATGACACCAAACCTTTTTATTAAATCTTCATCAACGCCAGTTATTTCTGAAGCTAGAGTTGGTTGCTGGAAAAATCGTCTAGCTGTGTTTCCGTCATTCGTTGTCCCATATCCCGATTTAGGAATATCAACCAGTAAACCCATTTCATTTCTTAGACGATCAATGATAGTTTTCTTCCTTGCCTCTTTCAAATCTTTATCCGCCTCTCCCCTAGTTTGCCACTTTTTAATACCTAGCTTGTATGCAATATGAATTATGCACTCAAAGCATCTTATCCAAGCATGTAATGATGACATACCATACTCGTATAAACTTTTATTCGGCTTTAATTTTGCAACTGCTTCCAAATCATTCATTAATTTGGGTGACGCTCCACAAATACCACAACGTTGGGAAGAAGAATCTGCAATTACTGAAAAAATTTTTCCATCTATCATGGTCAAATAAAACTTATGAATGATTTTTATTTCCATTTTTTCATCAAAAATTTCCGTCGGTACTAATGCAGATATTTGGTTTTTTATTGCCTCTATTTCTTGTGTAGCTAGTGATTTGCTTTCCCTTTCAAACATAATTTTAATGGGCCTACAAAACCGCGTAGATGATGGACGTGGATTCTGCCAAACTAGTTTATCATTTTTTCTAAGTTGCAATGGAACCAAGCAAATTGAGAAGATGTGCTCATCGGTTTTGTTTTCGTTGCTTTCATTAAAAGTCTGTTTGTATCGCGAATGTCCACTGCTACCATCACATCCCCACTTATATGACAAAATAAGTTCATTACAATTATACAATTCTAATACTTCTTTTTGCAGCTTTACAAGCCTTTTTGCGGTATGGTCTACCAAATTTTGCAAATCAACTTCTGCCGATGTTTCTGAAATTTTAATGCCACTGCTGGGATAGCACTCAGTCTTAGCAGCCAAAAGTTTTCCGTACGATGGATATATATTAGCATTGCGTTTTTTCCCCCCTGCTCGCATGAGGTTATAAGAGCTTTTTGTGTAATCGCCGTCGATATACAAAGCTAAAGCTTCATCATTGGAATAAGGTATTGGTCCTTTAGAAGAAGAGCACAATTGTTCTTTAATTTTTTGAGCTCTAGTTGGAGAGGAGTCAATGGATCTCATAATGTATGCAGCATTTCTTTTCCCAGATTTATTCAAACTTGTTCCAGCAGCAAAGGTCAATTCCTCCGGGGACCAATGTTCAACTAATTGTGCTACCTTCATTCTTTTCGCTCTATCGCCTTTTTCTAAAAACTGCTTAGAAGGGCGCCCACGAGACGTTGAAGGTATATCGTCATCAGAAACATTCAACGAAACTTTTTTTTGGGATAATAAACATTCCTTCTAACCAACTTTTATTGTTAGCTTCAAACACTTGCTTTGTTCGATTGGCCTGCGCCCATTTCTTCCTTAAAATATATAAAAACCCACTGACAGCTCGCATCAAACTATTGCGGAAACCCTCACTTTCTCTATTCTCTACTTCAGTTTTATTATAAATATGTTCTAAAATAGCATCTTCTTTTTTATTGCTCTGCTTTTCGCCACACCAAACATTGAAAAGTTCACTCCTTTGGATCGACATTTTTTACTGAAAACGAAATAATGAGTGTTTAGGCAGATTTTGGCAGCCAATAATGAAATAACTCACAAGTTATTAACACACAGGTTACAATAAAAGCAAAACTAAAGATTGATACGAGTGGATTACTAATTAAAACTTTAATAGAAGTTGGGAAATAAAACAAAATTTTACGATAAGGTACAATCGTACAAAAATACATTTTAGACTACAAAAAATACGATTTTTAACATATATTTTTAGTGGTATTAATTCTTAGACTTACGTTTTTCACCTTATCACCAAAAAATATTTGAAACAAAGTTTTTGTATTTTTGTACACTCACTTTACTTGCGCTGTTAAAAATCAACTATTATATGAAGATCAGCAGTTCATTTCATTCGCCCCTTTTAAAAGCAATAAATCAAAGCAACTACAACGAGTTGAGGTGAAATAATTGTACCGTTATGCACTGTGGACAATTGCAAACGTACCTCTGGCAAAATATTTTCTCCCGCTGTGCTCAAAAATTTAACTTTTTTCCGGCTAGCTTGGTGTTTCCGACCACTGTGCACGAGGCTACCGATAACAAGCAGAGGTGATTCCTTTGCGAGAAGACTGAGGAAGTTTAAGGAGAATCTTTGTCTCCAACCAAGGAATATAGCCCCACGCCGAGCACCAGGCGTAGACCCTCTCGGGGCACCGTCTTCCTAGCGGGCACCACCAATAAATTTGCAGCAAGGAGTGAGCAGAGTTTACGGGTAAGCACTGTGGTTTTTGTGCGTGCCAAATTAAATCAGATGAGCGGGCTGAGGGCCCAACACCACATACAAATTAATTTGTGTAGTAGACAATAATGTAACGGCTACACAGCGTTTGTTTACTGTCGAGGAGACAGAGTGTGGCAAAAATTTTATGATCTAAAGCAGTGGTGTCCAACAGAACTTGGACAAAGGGCTACTTTGAAACTATCGCTATAATACGCGGGCACCGCTAGCTTACCTTCAATCTTAACTGCGTTAACTCGTTTCACTCTTCTTATATTCAATATATATTCTACTAACTAGTCCTTTTAAAACATTTATTTATTATTAAAGTTTATACAGTTAAGTTTAATTAATAACAGTGCATAATATTTTAATGAAGAATATTCATTTTATTGTAAACATATGGGAATGGTAATGGGAACGGTTTGAGATCGATGCGATCTGCAAAACCTTCTTCGGAGATTGATTAACAAAACGGCAAAATTTGGCACTGAAATCGATAGATATGACGTAAGTTATGTGTTTCTCGCCGTTTTCATTTGAAATATTTATTACTTTCCCTAAAAATAATCAAAAATAGCTTGCAAATCGCACCGATTTCAAACCGTACGACTCGCAGCACATGCCCAACAAACTTAATATGATGCTTGAATCTTCATATTTTCAGATAACTTCTTAAAATCTGGTTTATATTGCACAGTTTTGCAGGCTAAAATCATGTTATTTTTGACATGCTCGTCAGTCAGTACATCTTGGTATTTGTTTTTTATAACCATTAGTTGGGAAAAGCCTGTTCCAGAAGAGTAAACGTCCGGAAATGTTGAAAGTTTTTCTTTGTCAACTGCTCTATCCATACATCGATTTCGAGATTGCAAAGTTGAATTGAAATCATTTAGTTTTGCAGTCACATCAGTAAAAAATGCTGCCTTTGGATTTCAGGAAAATCTTTATTTCCGTCATCAAAGCTACAAATATTGAGAGCACTTTACCTTGACTCAGCCATCTTACTTCAGAGTGGTAGAATATGTCACCGAATTCACTCTCAAATTCATCAAGCAAGGCTTTGAATTGCCTATGCTTTAACGGTCATCCGCGAATCAAATTCATAATACGAACGATCGTGCTCATAACATTATCAAGGTTGAGTGTTTTTGCAATCAGATTTCCCTTCTTTTTCACTACGTTATATAATACATATATATCTTGCCCACGAGTACGAGTTTCCAAAGTCAGATTGACTAACAGTGCCTCCTTAGCAGAAAAATCAGAAAATACCACTCTGGTGAACACTAATAAGTGCGGAGAGTCTGAAACATCGGTCAATTCATCCATTTGTAAGGAAACCTAGTCACATTTCTTGAAATCGCTTTTTATTTGGCCATGAATATCGTTTGGTAGGTCATCAGATAACGACACTTTTTTATTGCTGAGATTACGCTATTTTTGTTTTGAAAATCCTGAAACAGAGATTCTGTCATGTCTAGCATAGAAAGATAAGAAGGTGAATGAGTTCGTGAAAATTCAAAAATAAAAGCCTACTTATGTACCAAAAAAGTTCCAATTGTTAAACTTTTCAATTCAATACAAAATATTCTGTTCATCTTCTTGTTTGCGGGCGCCTAAAATTTAGGTCGCGAGCTACCAGGCGCCCGCGAGCTACCGGTTGGACACTACTGATCTAAAGGAAAAACCTATCTTCGTTAAAGACTCAACAGTTGTAAGACCGAATTTATTAGTATAGATTAAAATAAATCACAATTAAAAAAGTAGATATGCAATTTTATTTCATTAACACTTAGATAGACGTTCAACAGGATATGCTGAGTTTTTCAGAAATTATAGCGAAAAATTTCGTTATTGGATTCGGTCATTAGTTAGCAAAAAATTAGTTAAAAATTATATTATCGTATTTTTCATACCAAAACAAATTTTCGTGAAATTTTTTATTTTTTTAAATTAATTTATTTTTTATTTGTCTACTGGAAAGTATTCCCCGACCCAAAAATTTTGCGCCCTGCGAAATTGTTACGCTAGCGGACATAGGGTAAACGGGATAACGGCATTGGTTAGAAATTGTTGGATTCGGTAATTAGTTGGCAAAAAATTAGTTAAAAATTATCTTATCGTATTTTTCATACCAAAACAAATTTTCGTAAAAATTTTGTTTATTTTGAAGAAATTATTTTTAATTTATCTACTGGAAAGTTTTCTGCGAGCCAAAAATTTTGCGCTCTAAAATATTTTTTTTTTTGATAATTATAACATGTGTTATGAACAATTCCGCTAGCGAACTTGTTACGCTAGCGGACATAGGGTTCACGGGATAACGGCATTGATTAGAAATTATTGGGTTCTGTAATTAGTT